AAAAAAAAGTTACAGGTCATCAATATTTGCCATTTCTACGCAAGATTTGCAGTTCATTTCTGCATGGTCCAGACATACGTCAAACGACGATAGATATGAGATGTGAATATGAGAGTGGAGGCTATATGCGGAAGCTACTGAATATATCCTACGTTGGGGCGCCAATTTCGAAAAGTTATATGGTATTTTCTATGGCTGGGGTATGTCACACCCCACGTGTCGGACGCAGGGTTAAGATTAAAATTGAACCTAAAAACTAAGATTAAACCTAAAGACTATGAATGAGTGTAATGTGATAAGAAATATAAATATGTCTGCAAATCTATGTTCTGTTTTTTTTTAAGTGACTCTGGTTCAAGCTACTTTCAGATATTAAACAGATCTACTTGAATTTCATTAGCACTCGATAAAATTTTGGATAATTGTCTATAATTGCATCTATGGAAATCAATTGCAAAAGTTTTGAGTGTTTCCAGTTTTTCTGGCTGAAACATGCAGGCCAATTGAAGACAAAAGATGTGGACAATCAACATGATAGTTCAAAATCTTATGTAGAAATCTAATGTCTGTATAAACTCTAAGAGTACTGTTTCACTATTTCTGTTATAGTACAAACTTCTTTCGAAGCGGTTTCAGTTAAAAGTACCTATATTCAATTTATAAGCTAGACTTCTTAAAAATTTGATCTGAGTTATTTCTATTTTATTTATAAGGATTTCATATATTGGCGACCGCACACATGAGCAATACTCCAATATTGGTCTATATTAATGTTACTTTTCTTTCGCACCATCTGAAAGATTACTCCACCTAATAAATACTGGGTAGTATCAATTGAAAAAATTTTATTAATTAAAAAAAAAGTTCATACTGAATACTTCGATTTGAAAAAATTATAGCTTACAAGGAACACAAAAGGCGACTTTCCATTAAATATCTTGAATAACAAATTTTTGTAGGAAAACATTTTTGAAAAAATCGATTTTTTTTTATGCTGGTGCTACTTTTTTTCTCAAATATTTGCATTTACTTATAAAGTTTAGATCATCTGATGATGATGGTTACTGAAAGTTGCGTCAAGAAATGTGTAGTTGAATCTTGTGGGAAAAGTGTTTTTTTTTTACAGTAAAAAGTAATCTGATTTTGAACTTCTTTAATAAAATATTTCAATATTTCAAACATTTTCATGAATCTTATATCTACCTTTCAGAACAATGTGGAAAAAATGTTGCTTTTCTGGTGACGGCGAGTATATTTGTGCTGGTTCAACAAGGCAACATGCTCTTTATATATGGGAAATGGCTGTTGGGAATTTAGTCAAGATACTACATGGCACCAAGGGAGAACTGCTTTTAGATGTTGCTTGGCATCCTGTTAGACCTATTATTGCTAGTATTTCATCAGGTAAAATGTTCAAGTTTTTATTTAAATCAATCAGTTGATCAAAATATAATTCAAGGTCTTGAAAATTAACAAATCTCACATGAAGACTATTGTCACAAGAATATAGATCATGATGGTCACTTTCAGTTTTGCCCTGCATAATACAAACATGCAGCACTAGATAATTAATTTAAAAATTCCTGAGTGCCTATACAGTGCTAGTCAAAAGTCCCTTCCCCCCCTNCTAGCACTGTATATTGGGTTGGAAATAAGATATCTAAAGGTTCTCCCGAATAACCTAAAATTATTTATCTAATTGGCAACAACAGGTGGTTATAATTTTTGATCCATTGTATATAATATTATTTTTATTCATACTGTTGGTTGATAATGATAGTTCCGTTTAAAACGCTGTCAGATTTTTCAGAAATGCTTAGTAAAAAACATACTTATTTTTTTCTAGCTTTCAACTACTCATTTCAATATAAAATATAATTTATAAGATTCAAAACTATTTTTTGGGAAAGAAAGTTTTTGGCTTTCTACTACTCCATCTTGATACAGAAAAATGTGGGAATGTTCCAAAGAAAGGAAGGAAGTAATCAATTTTGAAAAGAAGTAACTGTATACATAGATGTGAAGATCATGCAAAGAAGTAACTTTCAGGCACTAATCTGGATGAAAAAGCCTTCCTGAAACAGTTACTTTTATATAAACATTGAATTACACGAAAGAAAAATTATTTCTAAACAAATACTTTTATATGAACACTGAATTATACAGAAAACACTTTTTTCTACTCAGTTTGTATTCCAAATATTCGTTATGAGATTAAATCAGATATCATTCACAGGGTTTCTACACAATATATTGAATGAAAATAAAAATTACATGGAGCATGACAGTATTCCATGTAAGTCTTAATTATTGCAATAAACTTGAAAGCGATAAAATTTTTGAATAGAGAATGAAGAGACCTTTCAAAAGATATATTACAGGCCTATACTTCCCATTTAAAAAATCGCGGGGGTACCTGTCATTCGACGGGGGTTGAAGGTAGGGGTAAACACCAATATTCTATTCTATTTTATTCGTTAGCACAACATGGTTGGGCAGTCTATACAAAAATCCCTTGTCAAACTCTCCCGGTAATTGATACCCAAAAAAAAACAAAAGATAAAAACCATACCACTACTGGAGTACGACCGGCCTATAGTGTCACTTTTCTGAAATGACTCGGAAATCTCAATAAAATAGTTATCATTTCAAGTCTACTAAAACTAACAACTCCGGTGTGATCTGAGATTTTTTTTCAATACTATATGTAGATACTTTTTATGTAAGTGGCTGAAAGTAATCAATTCATGCTAGACATATTTTATTTTGTTAGGTGTAGTAAGTGTTTGGGCACAAAACCAAGTGGAAAATTGGTCAGCATTTGCCCCTGATTTCAAAGAATTAGATGAAAATGTTGAATATGAAGAAAGAGAAAGCGAGTTTGACTTAACTGATGAGGACAAATCTGTGGCAAGCGGTGGTGATGATAAAGAGGACACAGATTTGGAGGTTAGTTGACTATATTTCAAAGTGACTTTTCCATTATTTGCTGAATCATCCCACACTACTCAAATTCATGGAAACCAAAATCCTGTTTTAGGTGGATGTATGTGCCATAGATCCAGTTGCAGCCTTTTGTAGTTCTGATGAGGAGAATGAAAATTCCGATTGTTTACAGTTCCTTCCAGTAGCTCCGGAGGTATTCATTATTGTATTGAATTAATTGTCCAACAATTCTACCTTTGTTTTTCAGATTGAAGATCCCGAAGATAACTGGACTCCTACGGACAGTAATACTACGCCATTGAATATGGGAACTGGTCCATCACCAGCGAAGAAAAAGAAATATAAATCTTACGATATTGCACTTGAAAATATATCTGACGGAGGTAATAATAGTTAACAAGTATTCTATGCATTGTAGAAGTTTTGTTATTTTAGAGTTTTATCCTACGTTAGATCTATGTTATAGATATATATTTTAGAATTTTAACAGTTGATTTTCAATAAAAATTTATTGAATGTTTTGAAGGTATTGATTTTATTACAACTTATTTTAGCATATGTCTTTGGTTCTCGTATTTTTCGTCTTGTAATTGCCTGGATAGGAATTCCAGGAAGGGTTATTATAAAAACACTAATACTTCATTAATCTGAACTCCAAGACTTCACTTTTATTTTTTTGTAAATTGAATACAATTTCATTATTATAAAATTATAACTCATTGAATTGAAACAGTGTAATTGCAAAGTTAGGTTAAAATCAAAACGTTACAGTGAACCTACTTTTATTGAAAGATAATAAAAAATTAAAATTAAGGCATTTGGTGTTCAAAGTTAGAAAGTTGTTGAACTTTGAAGCTAATTTTAAACGTTTTCTGAAATAAGAGTATAAATTCTGTTAGTTTCAAATTAAACTTAAAATTGTCAATTGATTATTCAACATGTCTCGTTTTTATATTTTCCCTTCTTGGCTTTTGTATCTTGACATAATATATATTGTGAAAACATTCTTTTTACAGAAGTGCACCCCTTATTAAGCAATAAATCTAAGGATAAACTCGTTGCTGGCGGTAAGAAGGGAGGAGGAAGGCTGAGAAAATAATTTTTAGTATAACTGTCGAAATCGAATCATAAATAATAAACTTTACATTTTGTCAACAATATATTTTTCCTAGAATTTTTACAATATTCTATATTCTGTAAAAAAAGGAGTAACAAAAAAAAAATAACTTGGCAGAAGTATAATCAACACAGTTTCAGATTCAATAAAAACTAACAGCAGTACATAAAAGGGGTAAAATCTGTGGTGTTGATCATATAAATGTGTTGAACAATGGAAAAATCTACTACAACTAAAAGTTAAATGATGAACACTTCAAACAGTAAGTGAAATTGAAAAATAAACAATTGCTCATAGTGACGTTTTTTAACTGGAACGAATTATTCAATAATAAAATGCATTTGAATTGTTTCATAATAACTTTAATTGGTTCATAAGTCCAACAATGAATTTCAGACTAATTCATGATTTACGTTAACGTCTCTAACCGATAAGTATTCCGACACCAAGCCTAAACTGATTTTTGTTGTGGTTCATAAGTCCACTGAGTGCTAATGTAAAAGGTAGTGGACTCAATTTCTTTTCTAAAACTGCTCCAACAGACCAATTTGAATCCACATGACCTGAAACAATAAAATAGAAATATATGAATTATCAGTAAACAAGTACCTTCTATACATTTTTTAGAATCTATCCATTAATAGATTTGGTATATAATCCAGTAGAAAAGATAAATTGATGGATGTAGCCGTTACTACGTGGTAGGAAATCATAATGAAGAAGAAAGAATTGAAACTTTCGTTTTTCACCACTTTCATTTGTAACTAATGTTACTGCAGTTTCGTCCTATAAAGACAATTTCAAACTTATACATTAAATGTTTCATGTATAAGTACCTAACTTTACTGCAGTTTCATCCTATTTTGAAACTTCGAAACTGCAGTAACGTTAGTTACAAATTAAAATGGTAAAAAAAGAAAAAAGTTTCAATTCTCTTTTGTTCAGTAGAAAAGAGTTAAAATAACTAAATAATCATTGAATGTGTAAAGAAAAAAAGACAAATCCAAGAGAAACTATTCTGTTGAGTGGTTATCTGTCTGTTTAAAATATGTTTTTCCGTTAATCAGCTGTCGCCCCCATACGAACGACAACTCTCAGAAGTTGAAAAACTTGTGCGAGCTAAGGACTAATGAGGTCTTACCTTTCAACGTGTCATTCCTAATACGGTTATTGAAAAAGTTACCTTTTTACGTATAGGAATATTTGAAATTCCCGGTAAAAAATAGTATATATGCCTAGTATAATAAAGTTAGGAATATTAAATATAATTCTCAGACAATAAAAGAACCACAAATAGTATTTTAGAACCTTAGAGAATTATTCAAAATTGAGTGACAGTGGTAGGATCAGGGGTAAGTAAGCATATTATACAGTTCTTGTAGAATAAATAGAGACAATAAATACATCCACTATTTTGAATGACAGTATGTTTTTTGAAAAGAATGTCGATTTTATAAAGGGATTGTATATGAGAGAATTGGCCAATACTTTCTGAAATCAAGCATATTCAAGTTCTATTTTATTGTGATATTTTTACAATTTATTTCGAAAATCTAATAGGAAGCACTTCAACATTGAAATGGTAAAAATTTAATTTCTTGTGTTTCCTACTACACAGTACTTATGATGCACTGTTTGGAACCTTTGATGTAGTGATAAATATTACTGGAGTTTTTTCCCAACACCAAACTCGACACGTGTTTTGATCACCAAGTGACCTTCCTCTTGAAGATGATCACTTGGTGATCGAAACACGTGTCGAGGTGTTAAAATAACGGTTTGGTGTTGGGGAAAAAACTCCAGTAATATTGAGCTACACAGTACAAATAAGTATATATTAAAATCAATAAACATTAAAAGTTACATAGCGTTCCTGGAGCAGTTTAGATTTGACAATTTGTGAACCAAACAGTTCTTCAAAATGATCAAAACACCTTATACATACAATTGTTAGTCTGGAGAAAGGCTGACATACATTTTCACGCTTTCTAGTTGAATATTTGTGAATAGAACTATTTGATAACATGGAAGCCTCTTGTTTCTTTAAATTTACACTAATATGCATTATATACCGTGAAGGCAGTGTGAAAATTAGTAACTGTGAAAATAACTGTTTACATAAAGTCCTCAGATGAGCTCCCACCATGGACCTAATAATTTTTTCTGCTTGAGAAATATTTTATTGACATCACCCATGCCCCAAAACACCAGACCATATGTTAATAGGGACTAAATAAATCCATAATATGCCCATTTATAAGGCTATTATTATTGCCTTAAGGGTTTCGTGGGTAAAACACTAGGTTACCGAAAATACACAATTTATTGAATCAAAGTTAGTATATAACAAGACTCGCTATCCTCTACACTAGTTATGGGGTTACTGTCTACTAATAAGGGCGGCACTCGCCAGAACAAAGACAGCAATCATACTCGCTGTCAAAAATACTTGTTCCAAGCTTCCTGTTGGCAACCAGGGAGAGTCATAGGCGTCTCGTAGAATAGGGCAAACGGTGTCATGCTACAAATTTTAATACTTCCAAAGACACTCTTCTTTGTAGCTGTCTAATTATAAAACACAGTGCTTAATTTTCTCGCAAGAACATTGATGTGTTCCTACCATGTAATCTTATGGTCTATGTCTATAATTCCAAGAAATTTCATAGAATTCACTTGTTCAATGCTTTATATTATTGATTTTCATCAGATAGGTAACATTAATGTCCATATTTTTTCATTATAACATTAATGAAATCCATTTGCGGTGATATTTGCCCTCGCTACCGCATCCCGTGTATTAGTTTCTGAGACCTGTATATTTGTATCATGGGCATTCATGAATATTGCATTAAGACAGGAGTGTGCCATGTCATTCATAAAGATGATAAATAAAACTGGACCTAAGAAAGATCCTTGTGGTACACCGATATTGATTTCCCTCGGTTGTGACTTACTTTGATTTATGACTACTTGCTTCCTATCTGTGAAGTATGAAACAATCCAATAGTTTTCCCTGCTTAACTTTTGAGTATTACAAGATAGGTCGAACAAAATTTACATAACGAGGTATCATTTATAGTACTTTTTGATAAAAAAGACAAATTGTTGATTTACTCGTCACTGAGAGGGCGCTACTGACTTTATTTTAATGGAAAATCCTGGCACACTGTCAGTCCTTTCGTTGCCTGCGATACCTAACTGTCCTGATACCCAGAATATAGTCAATCTATTCCTGTCCGCCAGTTTCCTTAATTCTTCAAGGCATTCTAAACCAGTTTCGTTAATTTTGGGCTCATTGGGCTATTGATCCGCTCATTTTTTGTTTTGTTTTTTTTTACTGGTGCCATACATATTTGTTTACACAAGTCATAATAATAATATCGATCTAACCATTAAAACAAAAAACTAATATAGAACTTCACCTAATACCATATAAGATTGATTATTCAATGACAAAATGTTCACTGTGTGTAAAAACATTTACACTGTGTGTAAATTTTTACTTTCTATTCAAACTTATTCAGCATAAGATGTTTAATGAACTCTGATAATTTATTAAACATTTTTGAACCAAGATAGTTCACACCTGTTTTGTGTTTTTCTTAAACGGAGGTTAATGCAGACAAAAAATCTAAGAATAATAGCTTAAAAATTATTCTATTGTTCTACTTCAATGAGAGATTTTACATTAGATTTGAATTCATTGATATTGTCCAAGATTTTCATAAAATTTATTCAAAATCTCACAAACTACACCTAACGATTTGATCTTGATGTTGTTTGTGAAGATCAAATTGTTAGATATAGTTTGTGAAAATTCAAAATTATATGGATCTTCATCAAGTAACGGCTGAGTCAATCAAAAAAAAATTAATTTAAAAGTCAAATGGAAGCATAGGAAGGATGTTTTTTAGTATTTTGTGTATACATTCAATATGAATTGCATACACAGTGAAAATAGCATTCTTTTTTTAAAATTCCAGTTAACACCGAAAAGCATTCAAAATTATACAGTATTGTAACAACATAACTTTTTGGCGAAAAACCCTTAATAAATAAGTTTCCCATATGGTGCATACTTTGGGGATGTCACTGTATATTTACTCACTACTCTCACTGCAGGTGCTCATCTATAAACACTCCCACTCAAATTTCATTTCTCTGCTAACTGCACACTATTTGGTGTATCTATTTTTTTTTTGTTGAGGTCAAAACAATTAATGTTGGTTTTGTGGACATTTAATTTGAGATAATTTTTTGTGAATCAATTATTCACCTCAATCAAGAAATAATTTGCTTCTTGAGTTAGATCCAGTAATTAACAAGTTTGTGTCATCCGCATATTTAGTGATGCTGTGGGATATATCAAGAGGATGCTGTAATATTTTCAAAATATAAAGAACAAATGAAATAGGATCAGTTACGAGGGTGATCTAAAGAGTTTTCGGCCTGAACATGAAGATAGCAGCACTCGTAAATAAAAGCTAGCGAATTTCGTTGTTCATCAGTTGACAATTACTCACCAAAGTTTGAGCCATTTTGGACGCGTAGTTGTTATGTAACAGTCGTTTGAAGAGTTGATGTGAGTGTTTTTATGAATATAGACAAAATAAAGTATCGAGCTGTCATTAAATATTTGTTTTGTAAAGGCATTACACCTCAAAATATCAAAGATGAGTTGGATTCTGTCTATGGAAACTCTGCACAGTGAAATTTTGGGCAGCTGAATTTAAACATGGCCGTAAGAGCTTGGAAGACGATGAACGTTTGGTACGTCCAAAAACTGCAACTACCGACGAAAACATCGCCAAAGTTCACCAAATGGTGCTAGACGACTGCCGAATCAAAGTGAGAGAGATAGCAGAGGTTATGAATAAACATGTCAAAAAAACGCGTGTGTCACATATTAAATCAACATTTTAAACATAAAAAAGCTGTCCGCGCTTGGGTGCAGCGTTTGCTCACGTTAGACCAAAAACGTGTTCGAATGAACATTTCCAATGCTCTGTTGGCACAGTTTAGGCGCCATAAATCCGATTTTTGGCGCCGATTAATTACTGTTGATACACCATTATATGCCCAAAATAAAAATCAATTCCAAACAGTGGACTGCAAAGGGGGAACCGACTCCAAAAAAAAAACAAAGTCTGCTTTCTTGACTAGGAAAGTTATGGTGACTGTTTTTAGGATAGTCATGGAGTTATTTTAATCGATTATCTTCAAAAACGAAAAACCAGTATAGGAGCATACTACACCTCATTACTTGACAAGCTGATGACAGAACTTGCGGAAAAATGGCCATATTTGCAGAAAACAAATCCTCTTTCACCAAAACAACGCACTGTCTCACATCTCAGCCGTTGCCATTTCGAAAATCTACGAATTACGGTTTAAACTGCTTGACCATCCGCCTTACTCACCAGATCTAGCCTCAAGCACCTTTTTTGTTCCCTCATCTAAAAATTGCGCTCAGAGGACATAGATTTTCGTCAAATGAAGAAACAATCACCTTCGTGAACAATTACTTAACAGAGAAAAACGCCGAGTATTTTTGGAATTATTACAGAGATGGGAATATCGCTGAGAGGAGTGTATACGAGTTAAAAGGAGACTGTTGAAAAAATTTATTTTGTTCCTGGATGTCCATTATTATTGTGTAAAAATTTTCTCCACTAATTGATTTGTCATTACATATAACTGTTATTCGTTTATTTCTTTTATCCAGACATTATTCAAAATTTTACATTTTCTGATTTCTGTATTTCCTAAATTTTATTGATCAATGTTATTTCAAACAAATAGTTACCATATTTTTCTATGAACCCAAAACTGCATATTTCAAGATTCTAGGTTCAGTAGCTTCGGCTGTACTTTGATCTAAGATCAATAGGTACCCACTTATACGATATTGAAAGGATTAGAATGAAATACATTGTTAATCCCACTCCTACTAATATTATAATTGCCTAAAGTTTGTGAGGATGGATGAATGTAATGTATGTATTTTCGTTTTTACTTTTTCACGCCTAAACAGCTCAACGGATTCAAATGTAAGTTGGTATTTAGATAGATCATGACCTGGAATAACAACATAAAGTAGTTCTCACGGTAACGCAGGTAAAACAGCGGGGAACGGCTAGAATTGTATAAGTGGGTACCTATTGATTGACTGACACCCTTATATCAACGAACAGCCGAAGCCACTGAACCTAGAATCTTGAAATATGTAGGTAGTTTCTTTGTGTAGCGTAAATAATTATCAAAAAAATTAATAAAAAATTTCCACCCCCAAGGGAAAAATAGGGGTTCAAAGATTGTATTGAATTTCGTCATTTTTGACGTTAATAAAAAAAAATGTAACTATCTGTTTAAAATGGTCTGTCATGGTCAGCTAGTAATTAATATTTTTACTTTGAAAATACAGTAACTAAAAATTATGCCAACTGCACTAAGTAAGGAATAGCTTCAAGAATCGAATTATGTTACCTATAAAGAAATTCGCAAAACTAACACAACCGTCAATGACGTCTGACCGCGTTCTCGGTGCTTAGACCGCCCCTCTACCCCCGCGTATCGTCCCCCGTCACCTTACAATAGACGCGACGCGTAATGGTTTATTGTGTTTCGTCAAATTAATCATATCGTGATAACTATTTAAATGATTCGTCCAAATTACTTAGTGTAAAAGACAAAAGTTTGTCTATATTAAATACTTAAAACGACAATTGTATCAATTTTCATAAAAATTTGACAGATATTCTAAAATGAGCATTGTATAAAAAATATCCAATTTAATTGCATATAGTGGGTACCACATAAGAGCTAGATATATATGTTATCGCAGACTTTAATTTAGAACTATTTGAGATAAATCATCTTACGGTACATCATCTGCATGTAACAGTATAGGCAACACACGCCAAGATAGCTCTCAGGAAGCAAGAATTTTTCTGACTTACTTAATACTTTCGTTATATTATGACCAAAATTACACAAAACCTTTGTAAATTGTAGCCTATATGTTATTCTGATGTATAATCTGTATTAATGTAAAGTTTCATCTGAATTTGATCGTTCAGTCGTTTAGGCTTGAAAGAGCCACAAACATACATACATTTATCCATTTTCACAAACTTTCACATTTATAATATTAGTATAGATTTGCTCAAAAAAGGAATAATAACAATCAGTCTAAAATTATTGCAATCATTGTGTGACTCCTTCATATGCATGGGCAGAATTTTTGAGAGTTTAAAGGCTTCCTGAAATCCTAAAAACTTTAGACTGAAATTTAAAAGTTTGGTGAGTGGAGAAACTGGAATATCATTTCTAATACACTTCAGGATTTGAATATTCATGTCATATACATCCCAGCATTGTTTATTTTTCAGCTGATTTATAATGAATCTGATTTCTATGATAGACATTTCTTCAAAGTCAATGGTCCTCTTCCAATATCAGGTTCAGAAGTACTTAGATAATCATAGTAATTTACACTACTGTCAGGGAGTTAATTGAAAATGTTCTGTGTGACATTCACAAAATAATTGAATTGCTTGAAGGGTTCAGTTTTCAATGAGGAAGCATGAGTTGATTCTTTAATGAGTTCCCCTATGGCTTTGTGAGAATTTCAAAAATGTTTATGAAGTTTTCACTGGCCCTAATTTTGGCAGTTTTGAAGGCCCATTTGTACTTGTACCTGAATTTGACTAGTTAAGACTTTTATTGTCTAATATGATGTAATATGATTTAAATTCTCTGAAAGAACAAGATGTAAGTATTGCCTACTATTTCATTGTGTACTTGTGATGCACTGTTTGGAACCTTTGGTGTAGTAATGAATATTACTGGAGTTTTTTCCCAACACCAAACCGTTATTTCAACACCTCGACATGTGTTTTGATCATCAAGTGATCATCTTCGAACGGAAGATCAAACTCTTGGTGTAAGGAAAAAAACTCCAATAATATGTAGATCATTATGGATCGGAATACAGTATGATTTTTTAGCTTTCTTGATGTATATTATATCATGAGAAAATAAAGTGAAGGTATTACATTAATGCTGAGTATGCAAAATGTAAAATTCTACAGAATTGGCCAAAACCACGTGATGGAAGTGCTACTAGGGAACAGTGTAAAATGTTAAAATGAGGGTCCGGTCCATATTCATACATTAAATAAGTAAAATATGTACTTACCTTTAAATACTACTTCACTTTTAGGTAACTCAACTTGATAGCCAATTGATGCAACAGATTCTTGCATTCGGTGATTAGCTTCCAGTTCAACACCAATCTGTAACTGTTTGCTAGCTCTCTGGTAATAACATAAATGAACCCCCGATACACCAACAGTTCCAGATATTTGAACATTTTCAGTTGTGTACCTGTAATATATCAAAAGTAAGCATATACAACAAATTAACATTTTGAATACTCATACATTTTGAATAAGCATGACCCTGGAATCTATACCAATTAGATTTGTTGTAGTGTGCACATGGTCTAGATCAGGGCTACACTGAAGTAAGTCTCTATTCTATTCTTTGAACCAAAAAGAGTGTTGATCAAGTAGGCATATTTAAATTGGTGAGCATATGTGTGAACAGTGTCATGTGTGTTGATTTTTCTTTCATGAAATTGAAAAAACTGGATATCAAGACCAATGAAAAATTTGAGAAAACTAACTGTAATTTTTTTTAAATGTTTGTAGATATGTCAATGAGCAACAATGAACATTATGAAATTGACTGAGACTAAAAGATAATGGTAGCATCTACCTCCAATAGCGATACTGTGCATTCAACAAATACTCATGAGTGTATATAGCTTATATGAAATTCTTCTTTAAAAAACAAGTGGAATATTCAAAAACCTATCAAATCAAAGCAAGCCTTGACTAAATAAAAAAAAATGACAACTCACATTTTTATCATTTCCTAGATTGTTCTGATCAACCAAGTTTTATAATGGTAAATGTTTTGTTTAATGTTGAAATTAGTTTTCTTCAATTGATTATATTTTTAATTTAAATATGGAACCAATGTTTTGTACCTTTTCTGAAATAATCCGAGTCTATATGTACATTTTTTATGAAATTCCTAGAGCATCTCATAAAAAATAAATCACATTCTGGTTTGATCAGCACTAAACCAAAATTATTAAATCAGGTGGGCATAGTCTGTTGAACAGGTCATAACAATACCTTTTCACAATTAACATATAATTTTTTTAAGTAAGTTTGATATATAAATAATGCATTTAACATTAAAAATAAGAAACAAGCATCATCTTTACTCACAAGATACATTTCAAGTATGTGCAGCATTGAATGAATTTTTCATATGAATTAACCGTGAAACCAAATAAATGAATCCTTCTATGTACTTACTTTCCTGCTGCACTAAGCAGAGCAATTTCTCCCCCTGGAATTCCTGGCCCCTTCTGGTAGGCTAACTCTGATCCTAAGGCTAAACGGGATGTAACTGCCTGTAGGTAGTGAAGAACAACTACCCCAGACCCATTGATAATGTCAGGATTAGCAACAGTACAACTAGCTGTATAGTCACTTCCTTTATAGTTAAGGGTAAGTTGCCCAACTTGGAATTTAGAGTTTTGAACCTAAAAAATGTAAGATAGAATTGTAAAAATCATATTGAGAGCTTTTTGTACCTGGGCTCCAAATTTGGCTTGAATTTTAGGTTGTATCTGATGTATAATTGTCGCATTTAAATTTCCCGAGGGATCAATATCACCTAGTAGTATTGGATACGCTTCACTAGGTGACAGTTGTTTTGTACCTACATATGTAGCACCAAACCTATATCCACTGGGAGTTATTGAACTCATGTTAATGGTATGTGATATTTGAAAATGATTACTAAGTCCCCTAGTAACCATTACCCTTGCTCCTTCGAAGCAAGTTGGAAAAACGTCTGAAAAAGAGTATAATTTAAAGGATTGTAGAAATCAAGAATGAGGTTATGTGTACTCACTTTTACATTTCGTGTGAATGTCTTCAAGGGGCCCAGGATTTTCAATTACTTCTTGAGTTACCGGTGACGTTGTCGGTGGGCACTCTTTTCCTTTAGGTATATCCAACCCTGTCGGTGGCGGCGGAGGCGGAGTTGTGGAATAAGCATGGACATTACCCATTTCACTTAAATTTATTCAGCAAATACGCAACAAGATATTGAAATGCTGCCAAATGTTTCGTTAATGCTTGATACGCTTCTCTGCAGCACAAGTACAAATTATAAGAAATAGAACATATTCAAAGAATCACCACTCATTTTAGTAATTTTAAGCTTGACTTGAAACTGAGTGAAAGACGGGAAGACGGGAGACGGGAAGAAGAACATACACTTTTTACTTGACATTTGACAAAGTATATAGTGCGTTCCACTATGCGTTCACAACGATTACACTCACGACCGCAGTTTTTCCCGTTTCACTCCTTTACGAGAGTAACTGTCGCAAAGTCAAGTGGAATGGATTTTGGAGCTTCTTGGGCATTCATATAAACATTACAAATGGTGAGGTTGGAAAAATTTGAGTTTGAATATAATCTAAATGTCTTTTACAGTAGTTGAATATTTGTTGACGCGTCACAATTGTGCTCTAGAAACTAGTTCATCTAGTTCATGATGAAAAATGGAATGCCACTTCACAAAGTTATAAGCGGAAAAACCGAAAACTTAGGCCAGATATTATTTATTATGGGAATGTAATTCATCGTTATGTAGACAGACCAGCGATTTCGTATTTTGATATAAGTTCCAAACATAACCACTTCTTGAGCTTTTCACACTGTTTTTTGTGTTTAACCTTTCACATTCTGGAAAAATGTAAGTTATACAATAGAGAATCTGCTGATGCAAACTGAAAAGTTCACCCCAAAAAGTTACTGCGTAATATAAAACTACTGAAAAAAAATTAGTCAGTAATTTGTCGAAGTAATCGGGATACCGTTTATCAGTCGCCCATTGAGATATTTTAAATTCAAACCACAGTTACCTTCCAATTGTCTCTTTCATCACAAAAAAATAATCGGTTAGTTGTAATGTTATTACTACCATGTATAAAAGTTATTTTTTCAAAAACTACATCTCCCGATTTGATCTACATAAACTTCATTTGAATAAATATAATCACGACATGTTTCGCAAGAATAGTAGCTTTCTCAAGTGTACGTGTCGTGTGTACGGTGAAATTGACTATTGAACTTATTTGTTCGCTTAGAGAAACTGGTGATTCATTGAGTTTGGCGAAGTGGACAGTACCGGATTATGGAAACATAAACTGATAGATCTTTCTCGCTAAAAATAGACTTGTAAAAATAAATAAGTGCTTCGGACTCGGTTAAAATAAGTGGACATATTCAGTTTTGTGGAAAATAGACAATAAGAGACAAAATGTGTACGAGGAAAGTGCGCCTAACGGACTTGAAAGTTGCCGAATTGAAGCAAGAATACCGAATCGCTGAAAGATGAACTTCAACAAACTTCGGTAAGTCTGGAGGAGAACCTTTTGGAAAATTCGAAGAGTTTAAAACATGAACTCCAACAAAATTCGAAGAGTTTGGAATGCAAACTTCTAGAAAATGCAGAAGGCTTAAAGAAGGAACTTTGTCGTGTGACGAGTCTACTCGAAGAAAGGATAGGAACCATCGAAACAGAGATAGACAACATTAGGAAGGAAATGAACACGGAAGTGGAAGAAATCAAAAGGGAGATCAAAGATGAAATCGGAGCAGCAATGATAAAATGGAAAAAAAGTTAGGCAATGAAATCAAAGGCGGATTTGAGGCAGAAATCAGTAAGATGAAGAAAACAATCAACAAGTTGCAAAACCAAATCGTTAATTCTGCCCACACCACAGAAACTGTTACCGAAAACTCAATTCCGAAACTGAGTTTTAACATGGAAGAGCTTCATAAGAAAATTAAAGATATCAAAGTCAGTTCTGAACCAGGAAACCTCTCCATGAAGCCGCCCCAGTTGACGAAAAAACTTCTTGGGCAAATTACCGCCGACAATTCGAAGCTGCGGCCAGAGCGAATGGATGGAATGCAGGAGAAAAGGCGGTAGCATTAACATTGGCGAGGCGTGGAGAAGCAACGAATATTCTGCAAACCCTCACGGCCCAGGAACAGGACGACAGACGTTTACCATTCACAGCTGAAGAACCGCTGCCATAAATCAGGAGAATCCCTACAGGAGTTTGAAGCCGACATAGCTCGATTGGTTCGTCTAGCATATCCTGCTACGCCGGAAAATATAATGGAGCGGTTAGCAGTTCAGGCATTCTTGGACGGACTTCGCGACCAAGAAACGAGGCAGGTCTTGACACTAGCTCATCCCAAACATCTCGTCGATGCACTGGCAAGCGCTCTGGAGTTTGAGGCTGCAAAACAATCCTGCAAAAGCCAGAGCAAAGTTCGAGCTATCGAATGAGATGGACAGATGCCTGCTGATATTGAGGCCATCATTAGAAAGGTAATGAAAGAAGTGTTGCCTGAGAGAAAACAAATAAGATGCTGGAACTTCGGGAAAATTGGGCATGTGCGTAACAAATGTCCAGCAAGCCCCCGTAAAAAACGCATATGTTGCCATTCTCCAACGACAAGATGAAAGTGTTTTCGTAGACGGCTTCAACAACGAGCCTTGCACCATGCTGCCAGATACAAGTGCGACGAGAACCATTCTTGGGCAAACCTTTGCCAAAATACCGGCAAGAATTGAACCGTCGATTTGGAAGCTACGCATCGCAACAGAATTACCAATTGAATTGGTGTTGGATAGCATTAGATTGAACCATCATGCATTGGTGGCGGACATCGAGGACGATGCGATTATTGGAATGGACATAATGAATTCCAGAGGGTTCGAGCTGAATTTTCCAGACGGCATTCTACGTGTCGGTGGAGAAGAGCTGGCGCTTCATGGAAGAAGTGAAGAGATGATCAGGGTCCTGTTGGCTGAAGACGTGTGCGTACCTGAAAGGGCTGAAACCATCCTGGAGGCTCACTTGGACAGAAGTGCGAGCAGCGGAAAGGTGGTAATGTTCGAACTGAAGATTCATGATGAGAAAATTGGACGAGGAATCGCACTGAGGAAGACCCTGTTGCGTATTGATAAAGTTGTGCCGGTCAGGGTCATGAATGTCAACCACTTTCTCGTGACCTTGAAGAAAGGAACAATGCTGGGGCACTGCTCGTCCATTTCCTTCTATGATATTAGTGAAGAAGAAGGACGGCTCGACAAGGTTCTGCGTGGATTATCGCCACTAAATAACACGACGAAGAAAGGCAGCTATCCGCCCCTCTTCCAAGAATTGACGACAAGTTGGCAATGACCCATTCCAAAAGACATACACCAGCTTCGGAGCTTCCTTGGTTTGTGCACCTACTGCCGCAGATATGTGCTGGGGTTTGCCAACATCGCCAAACCATTGACCCGACTTACAGAAGGACAGATCCAGTTCCAGTGGTCTGAGGAATGCTAAGACTCATTCAGGAAGTTGGAAAGGACTCTGATCAACGCTCCTGTTTTGAGCTATCTCCTACTGGACGAAAAGTTTATTTTAGATACGGACGCTAGCAACGTGGGGCTAGGAGCAGTTCTTTCTCAGATCCAGGAGGGGCAGAAGGAAATTATTGGCTACTTCAGCAAAACGCTCAGTAAACCAGAGCGTAGTTATTGTGTCACCAGGCGAGAGATATTGGCCGTTGTCAGAGGTACTTCTACAAATACGTGTATGAAAGAAGATTTCTGTTGAGAACGGACCATGCAGCTCTCAAGTGGCTTCTGCAGTTCAAAAATCCCGAGGAACAAGTAGTGCGCTGGATTGAGAGACTACAAGAATTTGACTTCGAAATAGAACACCGAGCTGGGACTTTCCATAAAAACGCAGATGCCCTGTCACGCAGTTCATGCCCCGATGACTGCTCACATTGCCGACGAGCAGAAGAGAAGGAAGCAGCTATTTGTAGAACTACAGTTGTAGACCACAACTGGGAAGATAATGAGATCAAGCTAATAAGATCCCAGAGTCCGACCATGGGAACAAATACATCTTGGTAGCCATGGACAGTAAGTGGGCAGAAGCCTACGCCCTGCCCAACCAGGAAGCCTTCACCGTCGCTGACGTCCGGGTAAAGGAATGGATATGTCGATTCGGTGTCCCATTGGAGCTATATTCGGACCAGGGCAGAAATTTCGAGTCTAACTTGTTTCAAAAAGTATATAAACTGTTGGATATTCGAAATACCAAAACCACAGCCTTACATCCATAGTCTGATGGAATGGTCGAACAAATGAATAAGACCATAAACCGCGACTTGTCCAAGGTAGTCTCTGACCATCAACGAGACTGGGACCAGTATCTCCACCTGTTACTGTTGGCCTATCGTTCGGCAGTGCACGAGTCAACCGGCCATACCCCTGCCAGTATTATAATGGGACGAGAGCTGCGGCTTCCTTGCCATCTGAAATTTGGGACGCCGCCAGAACAAGACACTGCGGGGGAAGACTATGTCAGCAAGCTTTGGCAGAGAATGGACGACATCCATGAACGAGTCCGTCTGAACATCCGGAGTGCCAGCGATAGAATGAAGAAGACCTATGACATCAAGGCGAATGCTGGAGAATTTGAAACCGGTGACCTAGTTTTACTGTACAACCCTAAGCGACGCCGTGGTTCATCACTGAAGTTGCGATTTTTTTTACATTTCTCTGTTTTTTATGCAGGGTGATTATGATTTATTTTTCAGGAGTAGTAATACGTATTTCAGAAAGCTGGGCTCAAATGATTACAGTATTGTTTGAGTTGAGCTTAATAGCCAAGTTCAATAGAGCTTGGCTCTGCATGATGTACGGAGAATATGGTCTTCAGTTACAAGGGTCGTTATTGGCTACATAATTGTACAGTTTATTCTTTCGAGTGCTTCAGTTCACTGCTATACAACAATTTGGTACACTATCCTGAAATAATTCACAGAACTATCCTTTGGTTAACAAATTAGTAGTTTCACGCTTTCTTTCTCTCTCCTCCATTGATTCATTCAACGAAAAATGTTTTATGAACAGGTTCANAGTGAAAGTGGGAGTAAAAGTTTTTTTAGTTCTTGAGGTAGATTTATGCAGCATCAACTTCCATCTTCACTTTCATTTCAACTTTAACTATGGAATTTTCACTAAGATACTAAGATAACAAAGTGAACCTAACCTTTTTTGTGATACCTACTACCTCTGGTTGAGTTTTGGTGGTTGTGAACGCTTTGTACAATATAAATATTTCAAATAATCAACATATATTATACATAATACATATGTAATTTTTTTTACATAATTAACAACATGCGTATGTGC